TCTCGACGCACTACATCGCCGTCATTGGAGTGCGCGCGGCGCTCCTCCCGCGTTGTACCCGCGGGACCCCGAGTTCCAGTGCGTCAATGCTCCGCAGCCTGGACATCTGGTTCTCCGTGGTGACCATACTCGAGGCCCCACCTGGCTGCCCACTATGTTCCAGGCTACAGACGAGCAGAGCTCTGGTCCTCCGCGGGCATGCGAAGGTGGCAGGGGTGCGCAACTGCGTGCACTACCCGCGCGATTACTCGTGAGGAACACGGAGGGAGGATGTACGTCAGAATACCCTGTGCTAAACACCGCAATTCGGGAAAAAAGCAACAGCAGCGAACTACCCTTGTGCGTCGCGGGCCGGGAAAACCCCAACTAAACTCAATCTATCGGAAAAGCAAAAAGCGCGGCCGGCTAGTCAGCGTTTCGCGTACCGAGGGGCCCTGTAGTTCCGGTGTGTATTACCACGCCGGCCCTGCAGTCAGGCAACCCTAATTCCATCTAAAAACACACGTTTGTCACGCTGGAACAGGAGCCATGCTAGGAACCGGCTCTGTGAGCCTGATTCCGCCTAAAAAGTGGCGTCTGTCACGCTGGAACAGGAGCCATGCTAGGAGCCGCCTTTCCAAGCCTAATCCCGCTTAAAAAGCAGCGTTTGTCACGCTAGAACAGGAGCCATGCTAGGAGCTGCCTGCGCAACCCTAATTCCGCTTAAAAAGCAGCGTTTGTCACGCTGGAGCAGACGCCATGCTGGGACCTGCCTGCGCAACCCTAATCCCGCTTGAAAAGCAGCGTTTGTCACGCTGGAACAGGACCCATGCTGGGACCTGCCTGCGCAATCCTAATTTCGCTGAAAAAGCAGCGTTTGTCACGCTGGAACAGGAGCCATGCTGGGGGCTGCCTTCGCAACCCTAATTTCGCTGAAAAAGCAGCCTTTGTCACGCTAGAACAGGACGGAGCCATGCTGGGACCTGCCTGGGCAACCCTAATTCCGCTCCAAAAGCAGCGTTTGTCACGCTAGAACAGGACCCATGCTGGGACCTGCCTGCGCAACCCTAATTCCGCTTCAACAGCAGCGTTTGTCACGCTGGAACAGAAGCCATGCTAGGAACCGGCTCTGAGAGCCTAATTCCGCTTGAAAAGTAGCGTTTGTCACGCTGGAACAGGAGCCATGCTAGAAGCAGCTTGCCCGACGACCCTACTTCCGCCTAAAGAGAACCTCTGTTTGTCATGCTGCAACACAGGCAAAAAAGTACATATTTGTCCCACCTCTCTCCTTGTTCAGGAGACAAAACATGGTTTATTTTTGTAACTTCATTCCCTAGTAAGTAAAATGCGTGCGGACTGCCCGGGGGTCGACTTACGGAGCCCGGTCATATTCACCGGGCCCATGCACCCGCCCGTCCCACCGCGGAGCCGTCCTCGGAGTGGCCAGCCCCTCAAGCTCCGCGCCCGCAGGACCCCCTAGCTCGGCGTCGCGCCTCGTGCACACCCGATCGCCCGCGCACCGGACTCTCCGTGCCGCTGAGGTGTGGAGGCATTGCAGATTTGGATGTACCGCTACCGCCCACAGAGGTGAGTGGATTTTCGCGGCTACCCGCACGATTGGACAAATCGGGACGAAACGGTAGAAGGGGTACCAGAATACCCGTGCTAAATACAGTTATTCGGGCAAAATAATCAGAGAAACCTGAAGTTCATTTCCCACGTTCAGGTAGCACCTTTAAGGAGAGAGGACGACCTCAAGCTCGACCTTTTGTTCTAGTGGCAAAATAAGCCGCACGGACTGCCCGGCCATACGAACCGTTCGCGCTACGCTGCCACGTGTCAGTACTAGGTTAGAACCAGACCGACGCGGGCCTCGCATCCGCAGAACCCATGCGGTCACCAGGAACCAAAGGCTACCATTTGCGTCCAGCAAGTGGGCGCGCTCATGGCAGGACTGCGTGAGAGAGGAATCTCTTCAACACGCTACCCGTGCGATTACTTCTAAAGCGATCAGAGCCACATCAGGGTGGCCAGAATGACCCCTGCTAAACAGTGACGTTCGGGCAAAAAAGTGGAGTTCTTTCGGGGTAAAAGCGAGTTATTTTTCCACGCAGATGAACCCTGCCGCCAGTGCAGGTGGCAGGGCGGAGCGGCCCTGTATCTATCGTAATTCTGTGAAACGCGACAATTATGCCCGTACTAAATTACTAACGATTTCCGGCAACATAGAAAGAAGGAGAATGACGAGTACTTTCTGCCGTAGTTACGACAGCAGATATAGAAATCAGCCTAGGGAGGTGTGTTCCCGATCCAGTTTCGGATGATTATGGAAAAAAAGTCGCGGACTGCCTGAGCTGGGGAGCTCCGCACTACGTCGCCGTCGACGGGGTGATGAGCCCCTCGAGCGTCGCACCCGCAGGACCCGAACCGTTTGTAACACGCAAGGGCGTCAGTCCTTGGGCGTGCGAATATGGCAGAGCTGCGAGATGCTTCTCACTACCCGCGACACCAACACGTTTGGATGTAGCCAAACAAAGGTAGCCAGAATAAGCTGGCTAAACACGCAATTTCGGGAGAAAAAGTCAGAAATTGTGCTTACACTCCTTACCTTTATCGTCTTCGTGACTTCTATACTCTTCACCCTCTACCTAGACATTCTCATTTGTACCGACAGAAATCATTTTTTCAATATGGGTCGAAAAAACCCGATAATTATTACCTGCTGTATTTCTTCCACGCCCTTGACGACAAATGCGGACAAGTCCTTGACATAAACCCCGCTGGTCGGGTGCTCCTTCAAATCGCATCTCGCCTTCACGTCCACCTTCGACAATAAATCCCGGATTTCCTCGTTGTAAATCTCCAGAAAAGACGCCCGCACCAAAAAGTTCCGCACGCCAATATCTGCGGTCTTGATGTCGTTGAAAATGTGGTCAAACGCCCTCGGCAGCAATCCCTTCTGCTCCGCCCCGCCGGAACTCGGGCCGGCCATGTATTACAGTGAAAAGTGCTCCCCACCCCACAGTTGCAAAAATTTGTGATGCGAAGTTTCCAAATGAAAACTTTTTGTCATGCATGAAAGGA